CTCGGATTGAAGCCTTGGCTGCAGATGGAGTTGCACAAGGGATGGCCGGCAGGCAGGTACACGAAGTCGTACACGGGCTGGCCCGCGGTGCCGCAGTTTGGGTTGCGCACGGGGATACATATATATTCACACATGGAGTTGAAGGCAGGATCCGCCACGGGGACAGGCCTAGAGCCGTTCACGGGCAGGGAGCCGTTCTCACACACTGGGACCGACCCGTTCTGACTGATGGGCAGGACACCGTTCTGGCTCGTGGGAGAGCATACTTCGGCCTTGGTGCATCCCTTGCAGTAGGCAAACTTGTGGCACCCTAAGTTGGCCAGGAGCCGGTGGCTGCCAAGCCGGTATGGTGTGAACTCCACAATGGTCCGTGCCTGCTGGTTGGATGCCAGTGTTCCCAAGCTGGACCAAGAGAAAGGAAGGAATTAGGGCCCTGGGTAGCTTAGAGACCTGAAGCCCTACAAGATGAGCACACATGATTAGGTTTGATTTGCTACGATGTGTTGGAGACAAACTTTGTTACTCTTGCCTTCTCCCCAGAAAAACACATTCTATGTTGTGAAAAGCATGATAAGAAATTCTGTCCCAAAAGAAGATTTGGAAAACTCCCATACTTGGTTCTGTAATTAGAACCAGAGACTCAATCATGATACTCTCTTGAGATTCTTCAAAACTGCAGCACCCTTCTTCCTCAAAGATGTATTCACTGCTTCCCATTTCCAGCAGCCTAAGTTGGATTGGGTAGCTTTGTGGAATCGAGTTCATTATTATTCAGTGAGAGGAATTCCTAATTGTGTCCCCTCAAAACTAGTCATACTTCTGTCAGTTCTCCTTGCCATGAAGAACAGCAGTGCATGCTAATGAGCAGTAACTTTTCCTACAATGTTATAGCATCCTGAAAGTTTCCAGTTTCCCGTGATTAACGTGTTATGAGCAGGGAATGCATATTGCTGTTTCTCTCTGTCACTTTCTAATTGTTCATGTATGTGGTGCCAGTTCATGAATATTTAGAGTAGTTCTATTAAAAACTCAACAGGGTTATAAGGATGGAGCACCCAGCTAGGATTTCTTGTAAAGAAAAAAGAGTGCATCCCCTTGCAGACAGAAATCTGAAACACATGCTTAAATCTTGAGGAAGATGAAGCAGCAGCAGCATATTTTCTCAGCTCTAAATGATCCATCAGTTTCAAGAGGAGTAAGGCTTTTAATGGAGCCTCGAAGTAATAAGGAGCAAACAAACCCATTGAGGTCCTAAACACCAAAAACATCAGAACTACTGTTTTCCACAAAACCAGCTCCAATCTAGTACAACTTAGTCAACCCCCAATATTATCATTTAAATAATTCATGCTCTTACTCAATGGTCATTGGCTCTTTGAATAAACCACAGCCTTCTAATGTCATCACGCAGTTCTTCATCTCTTCCTGGAGAGGATTGCAGAAGGAGATCTCCGCAGTACATGGTACTTTCAGCCTGGGTTGGCTCAGTAGCTACAGAACATAAACACATCTTATGTTTTGTAACCCTTACAAAATGAATAGTGAAGTAAATAAACGTAAGAAAAAGGATTATTCGTACATGTTTCATTCTGATTTACTTCTGTGATCTCTATACATCGCTCTAAATCAACTCTTAAACATTTAAAATCACGTTGTTCTTCGTAAAGTAAAAAAAAAATGGAAGAAAAACAGAAATAATTTTGACCTTATTGGCATTCTATGTAGGAGGTGGCCAATAAGACTCCTTAAGTACGTTCCTTAGATCATAACCCTTATAAAATGAATAGTGAAGTAAATAAATGTAAGAAAAAGAAAAAGGATTATTTGTACATGTTTCATTCTAATTTACTTCTGTGATCTCTATACATCGCTCTAAATCAACTCTTAAACATTTAAAATCACGTTGTTCTTCGTAAAGTAAAAAAAAAATGGAAGAAAAACAGAAATAATTTTGACCTTATTGGCATTCTATGTAGGAGGTGGCCAATAAGACTCCTTAAGTACGTTCCTTAGATCACAAATCACATCATTAAAATTTCTTTACCTTGACAATAACAGGTGGCCTGTTGATCACGATATCCCTGTTCACCATCAGAACTTCTCCACACTCTGGATCTGAGATAGCAACTACTTTTATAATGTTGTGATCACAGAGATAAGGTCCATACTGACTATATGATATACACAGGGGAATTTTTTTCACTGTAAAAGAAATAAATTTTAATTATTTTTTTGTTCTAGTTTTTTGGTTAATATTTCCACTTTCCTTCCTCCTAAAGTCTAACTGGCCCTTACAATGGCTTAATTAAATTTTAAGTTATCACAGCATCTTTGTAAACAGACATGATTCTTCCTGGTTTAGGGTGATACATTGCCACCTTCAACAACCAGCTTCACTGTTTTCAGTTAATATAACTGTATCAGTGCATTTACAAGGAAGTTGGTTTATTATCATTATTATTCAAAATTTGGAAACTATCATTCCTGTGTAATTCTTAAAGCAATAATTCTAATGTAGACAAATTGAAGCTTGGTAAAACAGAATGTTAATATCAGGTATAAAACTTCATTTTATAATATGTTTTAATTAATGGGATCATTTTTATTCCAGAAAAAAAGATATTTACCTTGAGAACAACTATTTATGTTCTGATAGACTTTTGCACTTTCCGGATTATCATATATCCAAAAATAATTACTTTAGTGATCAAAAGAAGTGTTTTACACTGCCTAATATCTTTTGACCAAAGGAAACAAATTGCTTTTCTGACAGACAGCTGCAACTTTGTCTTTATATTGAATACAGAATTCAGAATGGAACAGAAACAAGACTTTAAATTATCATAACAATCTCTAAGCCTTGAGAAGCTAAGGAAAGACTATGATTTACCTGTCATTACACATGCAGTATTGACACACTGTTAATTTTTCAGTGATCACCCTAAAGTGATTTCACTGTTAATATTTAACATATTCATTTCACTTCCTACCACTATTAGGAAGTCCTCACTAATCCTAAAAAACAATCTCCTGAAAAGAACAGTGGACAAGAGGGTATTAGACAAATTCACCTTCTTAGACAAATTCACCTTCTTACCTTCCCTTGGACCCAAAGTGACAGTCACATTGTCTTTCCAAAACTGATCCATTGGACAGCCACTGTAGGTTATTATTTGTGCACACAAATTAAAATTCAGGGTTTTGTTCTCACTACGCAAATTTTCAAGCACCCAGTTCAGGTGGACATCTTCACCATACATTGGGCAGTTGGCCATCTTTAACCTCACGTTAATTCCAGAGTCACTCAAAAATGGGTTTTTCAGAGATGACAGCTCTTTCTCAATGTAACAGTTGGAAGCATTGCAGAACCCTGGGTGAATTCTTCTGTAAGCCCGGTAATAGGCTTCTTTGTTTTTTGCAGAACCTGTTGAAGAAGATAGATGATAATGAATCTGCTGGAGGCATGAGAAGTCGCATCTATCCAAATAATAAGGATAATTAAATTTCTTCCCATCCTCCCAGAAACATAATGTAGTGCCTTGGTGTAGAACAAATTCACTAGATAATGAAACAAAAGATGCAGTAGTCTGAAAGGACAGAAGAAAATAATTACCTCAGAAAAATATTTTAAATATGATTTTATTTTTATTAGTTAAATTTAAAAATGGCCGTATATCTCAAAATGTATAGTTAGTGAAAAACTCAAAATGTAGCTCTTTATAAGGATTAGGGTGAATATGAAATGCTACCATGTCTCTCAAAAAGCAAAATACATCATTCAAACAAAGAAACTCTCAATTGTTTTCTCATTTGTTCCTGTTAAAAGCAAGGCAAACAAAAAAAAATCCGACTGCAATTTTACGATCAGCTGTGACCCACTCCTCAGTCCATTAGGCAATTTTGCTGCTTGAACTCCCCCCTGCTGCTGAAGGCTGAAAATCAGTAATCAGTAGCCCAAAGTCAGAAGAGCAGAATATCCTAATCACACATGAATTTAGTAAGTGAGCATATTTTCTGAAAGACCTGGTACAAGAAGCAACAAGTTAGAAGTTGATCCTTGGTTTAAAAGAATGTAGGGAGTTTCAGATTTTCTAAACTCCACTAATAATTTAAACTAAAGTACAGGTGAGACCAAAATGTATCCATATCAACAGTGGTTTTAAAAGGGCTGGAAGGCATCTCCTGTGAGGAGTGGCTGAGGACAAGCCACGCCTAGTGGCTTTTCTTCTTTTGAGGAAAAGAGGCCCACTGTGCTCTACAGCTTCCTGAGGAGGGCATGTGGAGAGGGAGGTGCTGAGCTCTTCTCCCTGGGATCCACTGATAGGATGCATGGGAGAGGCTCAAAGTTGAGTCAGGGAAAGGACTTGACATTAGAAAACATTTCTTTACTGAGAGAGTAGCCAAACACTAAAGCAGGCTTCCTAGAGACATGGTCAAAGCCCCAGCTCTGTCAGTGCCTTAAAAAGAGGCATTTGGACATTGCCCTTAACATGCTTTAAGTGTTGGTCAGCCCTGAAGTGATCAGGCAGTTGGACTAGATGATCCTTGTAGGTCCCTTCTAACAGAAACATCCTATCCCACCCATGTGTAATTACTGCATCTTTTGTTTGAATTATCTAAATATGTTTAGAAGTTTCAGAATCAAGATTTCTGAATAGAAAGGCATCTTCCTCTTTCTCAGAAAAAAGACAACGTCAGATTATTCTACTCATTTTAACACAAGGACATATTACATTGAAAATTCTGTACTATTAGCATTTTAAATTCCCTTTAATCCATTTAAAAAGCTTTCATCTTACCTAGTTCATACTTGTAAGCCCCAGTGATATCTTCGAACTGCTCACTGCCAACACTCTTGGTGATTAGACGTTGTCCACACGGCCAAGCGTCGCAGAAGAACTTGGTTTTTTTGGCGTTGTTTTGGGAAAGCCAGCTAACATAATTTGAATTTACTCGAGAAAACATATGATGACCATCATAGTCCAAGTCCACGTCCCCTTCTCTGATGCTTCGAACCCACGTAGGACCACAGCAAGCTAAACCTAAGCCAGATAATAAAAAGGTTATACTAGGTTGTCAGTAGACTCTACTGACTAGTAGAGAAACTCAATGACTTTAGCTGAGGAAAATAATTACAGCTATAGCAAATAGTTACCTCTGCCTGTTTCCAAAGGTGTCGGATCCAAACACTGCCAATCACCACAGCACTGATTTAGATCTCTGCGAGCCATCCAAGACTCATTCCAGCAGTGATATCGCCTGTAGGATGCAGGAATATAGGATTAAAGGTGGGCTTTTGGATCACTAAGTACAGTGCCATATGATGGGGGAAAATCATGTCAAAAGATGACCTTTTAATCAGCTGAAGACTCTCTAGGTCTTAATACTGTTAATGACATTTGGAGACAGGAGCTGTTTGTTTTGTTTTATGTTACTCAGACTGGACATTTGTTCCAGAACCCTGCAGACCTGATTGCAAAACATTCTTCTTGTAGCCCCTTTCTTCAGCTGATGACATGCTAACACAGTTCTTTTGTTTAAGTAGTTTATTTTCCTAATATTTTCCTCCTGGTTCTTTAGAGTAAAATAATATATTGCCTTAGTCTTTTTTAATGACTTAAAAATAAAAAAACCCAACCTCCTAAGTCTTTTATGCTAAAATAATGTCTTTGTTCCCTTAGTATTTCAATTTGACCATATCTTTTTGACTTGTTAAAGGACAGAGAACTCATTAAAAGCTCTCACAGATGAGTCTTGGATACAAACAAAATTCTGAGGCAGTGAAACTATGTACTCGCAGGCCAAGGGTGAAAATATGAAATTCTGACATGGTCAGTGATAATGTCATAGTTATACGGACATGAATTGCCAGGTTTACGAAAATTAAGCAATTTATGATAAGGAACCTTAGGAGGAAAACATAATTACTAACAAGTGATTATGACTGAAGATAATAGTACTAATCTGTGATAAATTTTCCTTTCCATTGCATGATCTACTTAGTATTTTTAAGGCTACTAAACTTGATGGTCTTATTCTCACAAGTGGGTTGTTTTGTTTTGTTTTTTTTCCTTTTTTGAAAATATAGATTAAGCAAACTGCCTCTTCATTAATTTCACGGTTTTGAAATGCACTATTAAGAAACTGAATAGCCTTGCCACACCAAAGAAAGAGATACATTGATCTGCTAGACTTATACTAATCTTTCTATTATTTAATTTTTGAGAAAAGCAAAAGAGTTTATTTCTTATTTACCATAGCTTGTCTTTACCACACAGGTTTTTCCCAGTACAGTCAAAAACTTCACTGATAGCAAGAGGATTCTCAATTGAGCATGGGAAACAGAAGTTCGTGACAACACGGCTTGGAATTCCCAAACACCTCATCACTGTAAGGAAACAAATAAAGTAATGAGTCATTGCAGATGGTAAGTAATCAAATTCTGCACTTATTTTATAAAGAGTTCTCCTATATTCTACTTTACAATTATGTAAACATAATGGACAGGAGGCAGTATTTGGGAGGTAGTGATTCTGTCTTCAAAGCTTCTTTCAGTAGTAGAAGAGTAGCCTGAAAATAGCCTAGCAGAAAGGAAAAGCTTGTTACTCTCTTCCACCTTCAAAAAAAAAAAAAAGCCAAAACAAGACCTGTTATAAGCTTGGAAATAATGAACCTGATCCTGTGTTAATGAAACACCATAATTCTTTTGTAAACAGAATGTCATACATAGATTCATCTATGGAATATTAATTTGATTTTCCTCAATGTAGAAGCAGGATGAGTAAATAAGTGGTACAAAGTTGGAACTCAGATTTTTTTATCTCTAGAGTTTAGTTCACTACTATCTCATCCTTTGCAACAAAAGAAGATAGTAGCCTGCTGCTTTTGTGTTTTGGAAGAGACATTGCTAGAGGTCTTCTTCCTGTTCATAACACAACATATTATTTGTCCTTCAAATGTCATCCAAATGATAAATTTTGGCTCCACAATGCTGCACTTGTTCTGTGCTTTAATAAAAGCTGCTGCATGTTATAAAGGTCACAGAAGAGACAGGACTGCTTTTCTTCTTGCTCCTCTCCCTGGATAGGAAAGCACAAGGCTGATAATAAACACTGTGTTAGGAGCCATGCTATATCACAACAAAGGAAAACTATTCCATCTCTTTTCTAGTAAAATGCTTATGAGTAATATTATTCCAGTAGTTTCTAGGGTCAGAGGTTTTTGATCCTGATTTTCTCCCTCTTCAGGTAAGTAGGTAAGAGCAGACTGAAATATCATACCTGTGCACATTACTGAAGCAAGAGACCCACAGTACCCATATCTGACCGGCCTGCATCTGCCGTTGTACCACTGCTGCAGAATGGGGACACTCCCATTCCAGGAAAATGGTTTTGTTCCTTTCAGGTAATCATTGTCTTCTGGAATCTTCATTATACTGTTAGTGATGTGGCTGCTTATCTAGAAAGAGAAAAGAAAAACAGCCTTTTCAAACAGCTGACCATGTCTTTACATCCTAAGCATATCACAAAATCCTCAGAGATTAGTGTTACAAGCTAGTTTTTCCTGTGAATCTGAGCACAGAAAGGATTTTCCCTGTCTTAGAACACAGTTCAATTTGTCTTTCTATAACACAACGGAGAGTGACCCAATCTATTCAGAAATCACACGTGACTAGAGGTCTTACCATGTGGTTCACCACCATGCTGACGTGCACGGGGTCATTGCGCCAACAACGGTCACGGTCAGAGCCATGATGGTAACTCGCACCCATGTCAAGGATCTTCAGGCAGATATCCAGAATCCCATCTTCAAACTGAGGAAGGAGAAGTTAACACAGGCATCATGGTATTCTTACACTGATAAAGATCCTTTCTTGTCAATAATCTAGCCTTTTACATGTATATTAGCTGCCCTCTTTCCTGCCTTCCCACCCCCCCCTTTTTTTCTTTATTCAAGCACAACTCCTGGTGCTCTGCATGGTTTTGTCTGCCTGTCTGAAGGAACACTAAAGGGAAAAACTTATCAATTTTGCTTATATTTGACTAACATAATAGTTTTCCTTCAGAAGCACAGTATTCTGTTTCACATCTTCAAAGAACGCCCTGCAGAAAACTTCCTTTCAGTTGTATGGGCTATGGTGAGATTCTCAAACATTTGTTTTTCCATATCATTTATCCATATATGGATGACATCTACTTCTGAACAAGTCCTCAAAAAGTACCTGTCCGTAGTGCCATGGTCGAGAGGTAATATGCTTGTGAACTCCCTCATACAGTATCCCATGTTCATTCAGAACATACTCTTCTCGTTGGGCCTGATTGTCCAGATACACAGTGTCATCTGGAAAAGACACAGAGCTATCAGTCAGACAATATGTACATTTCTAGTGCTTCTGTATCTTCTACCTCATTGGATTCCTCTTTCTTTTCCTATGTTTTTGATTTAAACACTTAAACATGTTCAAGGGTGTGGGCATCTTAAGTATTCACGAACAATTAATTTCTACGTACAGCTAGATATTATCTTTAATAAGTTTCTCCCTGCTGTAGTGCACCTGAATTACAGAATTTGCAATTTTATCTTCACACTAACTGTTCTAGCAGTCAAACACTGTGCACTTAGAATTGGGTATCTGATTTTGATCATATCAAAAGCACAGACAATGTGATTATTTGCCATGTAATGATTTTGGCAAGGTCCTACAGACTCCAGAACTGCTTGTTTCCAAATTCAAATCTACAGAATTTCATTTTTATTTGTACTATATTATTTCATGGCGATACCACAGGATTCACAAAATCACAGGAGGACTGAGGTTTGAAGGGACTTGTGGAGGTTGTCTAGTCCACCTCCCTGTCTCAAGCAGGGCCACCTAGAGCTGATTGCCCAAGACCATGTCCAGACAGCTTTTTAATATCTCCAAGGTTGGAGACTCAACAACCTCTATGGGAAACCTGTGCCAGTGCTCAGTCACCTTCATGGTAAAAAAATGTTTCCTGATGTTCAGAGGGACCCTCCTGTGTTTCAGTTTGTACCTGTTGCCTCTTGTCCTTTTGAGCCATCATAAAAGTGGGGGAAAAAAATTACATTACAACTCTACTACCATTAAGAAACCAAACCAAAATACTGGCTTGAGACAGTTTTTAACTTGGAGGGAAAAAAAAAAAAACCACAAAAAAAACCCCAAAACCAACAAAACACCAAAACAAACAACAAAATTCCTCTGTATTTCTCATTGTTTCTGTGGCTCCATTTCTTACTCACCAGCTAAGTAATAAATATATTCAATGTTTTTACTCATCATTAGCATTTTTCTTAACGCTATCTGATCATCACTAGAGTTCTTACCTGCACACCAGGGATTAAAAAGGACATAAAAGTCTCCAAGGCATCGCTGATATGTGTGACCAGAAGATGTGATTTGCATATTGAAAATATAACGCCCAATGCAGGCGTTGGAGGGAGGAAACACACTGATATTGATGCATTTTGGCTGATGAATTTTGTAGGAAGCACTCCAGCAGGTTTGATCTAGACATCTGCCCATTGGGAAGGTACATTTCGTCTCGTTCGTTTCACAAGGTCTGAGGCCTTTTCAGGAAAATAAATAAAATTTCAATCAGGCTAAACAAAGCACATGTAAAAGGCAAGTAATTTGCTTAACCATCGTTTGCAATGCAAACCTCCCAAGGCTGGATTTCTTTTTCACTTGTCACTTCTGTTGCAGGGTGAGAAAACTTTACATGTCAGGAGAACTGCCCGAGCTAGGGGAGGTAGTCTCCTCACAGAGAAAATGAACGAGTGGATACCATTTGCCACTGAAGACTATGGGAAATACTGCTACCAGCAAAGGACTGGGAAAGACCATACAGAGTTGGGGAGTGATTACCTGTCTCCACAGTGAAGACAGCCTGGTCCATGGAGTCATCCCATTCCCGATTTTGGAAGCGAGCATAGAAGCTGAAGGCTTGCCCTCTCCTTACTATCTGTCTGTCGGTCCCGAAGAAGTGGGTGTTATGAATTTGGCAATTAGAAGGACAGTTCAGGTTGACTTCTCCCAGCTCAATGACTGCAGGATGGAGAAAGGAACACAGTTAAAAACTCATCATTGAGTTCCCACAATTGGCTGAGGTCAAGATTACATGAAAGATGAGATACTGATGAAAGACAGATAATAATTTCAAACAAAAGAATTCAGGAGTTCATTCAAAATTCTTCAACACTGAAATTGAGACATACATTCATAAAAGCATCCTCACAAGTTCACCACTTCCCTAGTTTGCAGGTGGAAACTTGTATAATGCTTTGATTTTTAAAGCCATACTACAAGTTACTCATCTTTGATATAGTGCCTTCTTGCTTTATAAATACCTGATGCTGAGGGATGATATCAGCATCTCTGCCTTAAAAATTCATGTGGCTTTGGAATATTCTCTCCACATGATGACATTCTGTGTGCAGTTCCTTTTCAAGCACAGCTAAGCAGCTAACATTTTTCACATGCTATCAGCTAAGAGCTGTTTTTTATACAAGTAATAAAATAATAAAGTAAATTGGATAAATAAAAGATTTGACAGATGTAGGTGCTTGAAAGCTTAAGTGTCACTCCAAGTGAGTTATGAAAAAATAGATACAAATACATATTCCCCCCTCCCCATTTATAAAGATTATTAAATATGCATATAAATGTCTCAATCTGCATTTCCCAAAGTCATAAAAGATTTGCAGGGAATATTCAAAAGTTGTGACATTTTGAAAAAGGCTGACCATATGTCCCAAGTGCTATGATTGGCTTGATGAAAGTCTTAGCTGTTCCCCCCTCAGGCATTCTGCCTGGATATCAGTAATTTCATAGGGATAATTATGATCCTGGTGCCAGGAGGATGTGTGGCAACACTAATTTTGATTTATTTGCATACAACTTTTTTTTTTTTTTCCCCCAAAAATTGTTCCACTCTAATTGAAGTCAATGTGAGCCGTAGATTCTCAGAAGTTCTGGAAGTTTGGCTTACTGAGCTACAAAGTCTTGTATATTATTTTAATTCTAATGGGTTGTTTGGTCTTGCTAAGGTACAGAAAAACCAAACAATGCAACTTCTCTAACTGTACTGGAACTAAGTTGAATACAGAGCTGGTATTGCAGGGAAACATCTTTCCCACCCCCAGAAAAGGAGACTCACAGCTAAGCCCATGGGACACTTTTAACAGAAATCAGTGGAGTTTCCTAGGATTGCATCCTGAAGTAAATCATAAGCAAAACTAATTGGGAGGGGAGTATGGATGGGAAAAAAAAAAAAAGCAGTTTTCAGCTTTTTCTGATTTGTTTCTACAAACAAAAATAATCTCATTTTTCATCTAACCATTTAAATTGGGTAACAAATAGGTCATTCAGCTCTTCAGTAAAGAACAGCAGATAAATGATGCAGACCTGGGTGTTACCTATGCACACTAAAAACATGCACACTATCAACAACCACCAAAAACTGCATCAACGTATTACATCATTATTGCTTAAGAAAGCACCATATCTGCTGACAAAAAAGCACAGCAGAACTGAACTGAAAATCTAATGTCTTAATGAGCGTTGTCAATCATAAGGCAAAGTGTTCTCCTTGAGCAGAAGGGATTAGAAGTGCTTCCAGCACACATGACTAATTCCTGTGGTCAAGAACTCTGAAAGAACCTGGTAGATCCTCGCCCATCCTCTGGAGGCGTCTACAAACCAAGACAACTACGCTTCATCCACTCATTAATCCAGCTGAACTGGAACATCAGGGAGTTATTACATGTTTCCCAGAGAAGTTCTCTAAAGTCAGCCCACAGTTTGCTTATCAGAGTTAATTATCACAACTGGATCACAAAGGAGCTAACTACGGCTTTCTACAGCAAAGGCAACTCAGAGCAAATACTGAAGGATAAGCCACTTCACGTCTCTCACTGGTTTTGTCTCTCTGGTAGAAACCCAACCTCCAACACCAGTCACTGAGATTTTCTGGCAGTTAATATTTTGCCTTCACTCCAGGGAGAATACTTCAGGTATCCATTGTGAAATAATTCTTCTAGCATGAGAGTACTGACAACTAGTACTTCATAACTTCTGGAAACAAAATGTACTTTTTCCCATGCTCTTTCTTCCTCTCAGAATTGGCTGGTGTTTCACCAGTTCTCTGTAGCTCTTGTTTTCCTTTATAAAAGGAAAGGTTTTCTTCAAAAGTTTGCCTTTCCTTCCCTTCCCTTTCCTTTTCCTTTTCCTTTCCTTACCTTTCCTTCCCTTTTCCTTTCCTTTTGTTCCCTTGTCCTTTCCTTCTCTTCCCTTTCCTTTCTTTTCCTTCCCTTTCCTTTTCCTTTCCTTCCCTTTCCCCACAAGTAAAATCTAAAATATACAAGTAATCCCTAGACTTGATTCTACACCACACTATGTACAATTTTTTTTTGTCCTTCCACCTAGACTGTTTCATTATTCACACTTTCAGTACTGAGTCAAGTGACAGTAAAGTTTCAAGACACTCACCTTCCATTCTCCTTCTATCTGCACTAGTATCTGAAGCACAGTACTGGTGGAGGTACCTGCTCCTCAGCAAGAAGCACTACAAGGTCTGGCTGATCTCCTCTGCGATCCAACCTAATTTCCTCTCAGTAACATTTATATTCAGAACTAAAAGGCTGTCACACATATTGCATCAACAAAATACCAGTTTACAAAGAAGCCCCACCCATGTGTCTACAGATGCTCATAAATGATTCATTTTAACTTCCAGCATTATTAGGGAGAGTCCTGCGGCTGAAGGGAGGGAGAGATCTTGGTACCTCACCTATAGCATAGTGCTCTCAACATCCCACAACTTGTCATGTCTCAAGAATATTTTAAGACCAGGGTGAATCTAAACACATTTCAGCTAAGCCATTATTTTTAGCCATTTAAAGTTCCTATAAATCCCAGCAACTACTGTTCCCTTCTGGCTAGACATCTCCAACCACCTGTAGGAAAACAATAAAGGACACTGGACTTAAGCTGAATCCAGACTTTTTGAGTATGATCACCAGTGGATATTTTTATTATAACATAAGCAGAAATTCCAGCTTTTAGAAAGTCTGCATAGCAGTTCCTTCAGTTGGAGGTCAGAATAAAATGAACAGTTACAAACTTCACCAGCTAAACTGTAAAATAAACAGAGAACATGTATTAAATGTTTTTGAAGCTGACAGTAAAATTTAAAAATTACAGATTTTTATGCTTTGAGCGTATTTATGTTCCAGCATGCAGTTTTGCAGCATCTTAGATTACTCCATCTCCCTTCCCCCAAAATTATGAAAACCATTTGAGATTCTTCCAGAAATCTCAGTGAACCTAAAATATGTAAATATTTTGACACAAATATGCATTATTTTATTTAAGTTCCAGACATATAAAACAAAACTAACACAGGACATCAGCCCACAAATAGGAGAGATGGACTGAAAATTCCTCTATCAAAGCCAAAATGAACATTTGCTGCAGTTGCCTCCTATTCTTCTTATGCCTCTATGCCAAGCTTTACTCCATAAAATAGCCTTTGAACCCCTCAAAGTTATTCTACTTTGGATCAAAGCAAAAGAAAACCACCCTAAAACTAAAAAAAAAAAAAAGAAAAACAAACCAAAAAAAAAACCAACCCAACCAACCCTAAATCAAAAAAAAACATTTGTTAATCTAGAAAGAACACAATGACTGAAGTTCAGTGATTTGCATAACTGCCTGGATTCTAGACAGTGCTTTAAGAAATCATAAAATGAAACAGCTTAACAGTGTGAAATAACTTAGTAAGCATAACGTAACAGCCCAGGTATTGTGAAATAACTTCATAGAAATTAAAGCAAAGAAAAAAATCAGCACATCAACGGTGGTTTTGGAAGAGAGTGGTTAAAATGGTTGTATGACTGATGCATATGAAAGTGAACATAATATTCCATGTGCTCATAGTTGAAGTTTGTAAATTCTTGCCTAGTCAGTAGACAAACATAAAAAAGTGAATCCTAAATATTTCATTCATTTCTCATATATCTGGAAACTTTAATATTTGTTATTTGACTATTAAAACCTCAGCTCACTGTAAAATGAAAAATTAAAACCAACACTACTTATTCCATAAGAAATATTTTAGCAGCCATAAAAACATAATAAACTTTAAATCAACCTGTAAAATGGGAATGGTAGTGGTCTAGTCACCCATAAGACACTTGTCTACAAAGGTATGCCCAGAGTGGTCTACAGAAAAGTACCAAAGTTGGTCACAGTTTCCAAGAATAGATTAAAATCCCCTCAAATACCTCTAGTTCAACCATTTTGGCAAATGAAAGCCTGTGACAAATAAAAGAAAACAAATAAGCATCAGTAAGTGATTGCACCTGTGGGTTCAAAGAGACTTAATTAAGAGTTTAAAATAATAAAGGCCTGAATCAGGAGTGGAACACTTTCTGTATGGATGTGAGTCACTGACTTTAGTAAGTATGCTTGCTTAGATCCTTGAAGATGCTTTGGTGCCTACCTGTCTCTGCAGAATCACTGTATAGATACCCAGCCCCAAAGCAAAGCCTCTCAGAAACCCAAGTTCCTGCCTATCAGTTTGCAAAGGCATCCAACTGCTGTTGCCAGCTCATGGGTAGCAGGCGAGTTTGGTCCTCTCACTAAAGCCCACGTTCCAAGAGCCTAAAGAAAGAATCTTTAACAAGGTGGAAAATCATAGCACACTAGGTCTCCAGGTGTATCTTCTTACCCTCTTGCCCTCCAAGCCCTGCCTCATACGAGCTAGACTCAGGTAGTCCACGTAATAGGGCCAGCACCCTGAAGAAAGAGGCTGGGGAGATAGAGCACAAACAGGAAACAGAGGTATGCTTCAAAGAAAGGTTTTGCCTCTCATCTTATGGCCTGCCTAAAGAACTGATGCATCCTGATGGCTGACCTCCAAGGTAGGTCAGCTGCCATCTGTCCAAGGTGTCTCCTCCTGGATAGAAACATTGCCCTGCCCTGCCTGACAGCGAGGTACATCGCACTAAGGCTGACAGTCCCTGGTCCCAGCCTCAGGTGCCTTC